AATTCCTGGCAAAATGATTTACGGTGACGAATCGTTGAATAGTCCTCAAATAATTGTTAATGCCTTTAGTGATTTTTTTCAAAGTGCATACGCTCTCCCAGATGCCGAAAATGACTTTAATTTTAGTGTAGATATTAACACGGTCCTGGATGTTGCTTGGGAACCAATTACTGATAAAGAAATTTTAGAAGCTGCAAAAAAGTTAAAAAATAAATTTACTTCAGGTTCAGATAAAATTCCATCGTTTCTGTTAAAAGATATAATTAGAACGTTACTCCTTCCTTTATTGAAGCTATTCAATTTAATTTTAAAAACATCAGTATTTCCAGAACAGTGGAAGATGGCAAAAGTTTGTCCCATACATAAATCTCAACTGAAATCAAATATTACTAATTACAGACCTATATCCATCTTAAACAATTTTGCAAAGATTTTTGAAACCATCATATATCAGCGCTTATATATGTCTGCAAAAAATCTTATTTCAGTTCATCAACATGGTTTTATGAACTTTAGATCAACAACAAGCAATTTGGCAGTTTTTAGTCAATTTCTATGTGAGACATTAGATGAAAGGGGACAAGTGGATGCCATATTCACAGATTTTTCTAAAGCGTTTGATAAGATTAGTCATAGTATATTGCTCAATAAACTTTCGAATTTAGGTCTCCATAACAGTTTTCTTGAGCTATTCAAATCTTACTTGACGCAGAGAAAACAATATTTGTTTGTTTGTTTGTTACAATGGGTTCTGCTCCAACATCTATATTGCTACTAGTGGAGTACCTCAGGGATCTAATTTGGGGCCATTGCTATTCTTGATTTTTATTAACGATTTGTGCAGTGTGCTAACCTGTGAAAAGTTGATGTTTGCCGATGATTTGAAGTTATATTCTCGGATATCCAGTTTTCATAATTGTGATATGTTGCAACAGCAAATCCAACGTCTCGAAATGTGGTGTCAAACGAATAAGCTTTTTCTGAATATTTCAAAATGTAAAGTCTTAACATTTAGTCGTAAATCTGACTTATTGCAGCATCCGTATGCTATCAACAATATAATATTAGAAAGAGCTGACAGCATAAGAGATTTGGGTGTTTGCTTCGATCATCGGCTTTCATTTGGTTGTCACATAAATAACATAATTAAATCAGCCTACACTACTCAAGGATTTATCATTCGCAACTGTAAGGGCTTTACTGATGCGTCTGTATTAACATCTTTATATTTTAGTTTGGTAAGAACGAAATTGGAATACGCATCGTTAATATGGAGCCCTATATACATGAAGTACATTATGGCTATTGAAAAGATTCAAAAGCATTTTTTAAAATATTTAGCATATAAGATCGATGGATATTATCCCGAAAGAGATTATAACTACTCTGCGTTATTAGATAGATTTAATTTTACATCTTTGGAGAAACGTAGAAAATTAATGGCTGTTCAATTCTTGTACAAGTTGCTACATGGTAACATTGATTCATTAGTGCTACTCTCTCAATTGAATATAAATGTTCCCAGTCGTACATCCAGGCATAGTAGAACTTTTTCATGCAGAAGGGCTCGTACAAATTTATTGTCGAAGGCACCAATCAATGTAATGAGTTCTTATGGGAATGCAATCTCTGAAGTATGTGATATATTTTTTTGCGGTATGAATGAATTAAGAAATGTTGCACAGGCATCACTATAACATTTGCACTGTTATTTCATCTTTGGTATGTGTGTATATGTGTGTATGTCTATATTTGATTTGTATTTAGGCACTACTTAATTGTTTCTAAAATTATTATTTGCTTGCTCTGTAAATGGTTTATAACTGTTGGGCAATAAAGATTATTATTATTATTATTATATAAAAATGTTTATTATTACTAAAAATTATTCGATTTTTTTCATACAAGTTTGCTTTGATATAAAAATGAATTGCGCACTCTTACCTGATATAATGTATGAAGTTGAATGATATGTATATATCGATGCGACGGGCACATATGATATGCACATACACATTTCCGCGGTTCCCCATGCACACATGTTTATCATCAACAGATCATAAAGTACCGGTAACAAAAGTGTCGCATACCTGCATTTTATTTCCAAAATCTATGCAAGGACGCAGCTAGCGTGTTTTTCTTGTGGTGGAGTAAGAACGATTCAGACCCGGAGTTTGGGGCCTAGCCCCAAGAGTACGCTTATGAATTTTGATATCAAAGCAAACTTGTATGAAAAAAAATCGAACAATTTTTAGTAATAACAAACATTTTTATATATTAAGGTATACACTATTTTTTTTATAATTTGTTATTTCAAAAAAACGTCGAGTAATGTACGTGTCGCAGCATACTGCATATTATTCTATTTTTTTAATTAACAATTTTGTCGTTTATAACAGTAACTTAACAAAATTAATAGAAAATAATGTTGAATAAAAAAAATAAAATAAGACAGTGTACCTAAACATAAATATTCCTTACTTTTTGAAAAATATATTATATAGGTTTGTTATAAATACACGGTTTCAATAATTCAATGTGCCAACTTAAATTTCTAGTCAAACTGAGATAGTATTTTTTACTTAAAGATCTGAGCTAGCATGTTTACCAAGCTTAATTTGAGATAGCTTGTTTTCCAAACGAAATTTGAGATAGCATGTTTTACAACTGAAATGTGAGATAGCATGTTTTCGTATTAAAGTGTCGATATGTATTTCACTTATGTAAAAATATTTAAAATGTTTATCAAAAAATTGGATATGTTTGTTCAAGCATTTTGATACAAGTCACCCTATATTATTTAAAATTAAATTCCCTGTTCAATTTGCCACCATATTTTAGAAACACATATTGCATATATTCTGCAACTGAGTTGTTGTTTCAGAGGTGTTACTTCTGCAGTATTCACACGTGAGGATAAAGTCGTATCCAGCTCAGATGATCGCAGTGTAAAAGTTTGGGACTTGAGAAACATGCGCTCACCTGTAGCCACTATAAGAGTAGATTCTGCGGTGAACAGAATTTCAGTATCAGCGAACGGCGTTATCGCCTTACCCCACGATAACAGACACATCAGATTGTTTGATCTGAACGGTCAGAGGCTCGCAAGGTTGCCCAGATCGAGCCGTCAAGGACATAATCGCATGGTCGCCAGTGTGGCCTGGGCGGATGATCCTGTCTGTGGAATAAACTTGTTTTCATGTGGATTTGATAGGCGTATTCTTGGATGGTCGGTATTGTCTCTTAAGGATTAGAAAAGAAGGGTCCTAGTTAGGAGTGAATAATCTTAAGGTTGTTTTTGTCAATTCTTAACTTATTGTTATAATGTCGTAAGTGTAAATTATCAGAATATGCTTGTTAAAATTCTCCTGATAAAAGTATGATTTTGTTTCTACTTTAATATAACTAACACATAATTATTTTTAGAAATAATAAGTGTTAAGATTTTAAGGTACTGAAAAGTATTTCTTTGGTGTACACAGGATGAGGACTTATTTACAAGATTATCTGTGAAATCTCAAGAATGGTAAGTGATAAATAGTTCATTAAATTAAGGAGATGTGTGTTTTTAAGAATCCTTGAGAAAATGAACAGAATGTATTTTAATTAACCAAAAAATTTTTAAAAGGGCAGTTAAATAGGAATTTTGAATTTTTTTCAAAATATCAAGTTTTTTCAAAATCTCAAGTTATAAATGAACTTTTTTCTTTTTACATTTGAAATACTAATTTATTGGAGGCATAAAAAATGTGATTTGGACTTTGAAACTAATTTTTTTCTTAAAAAATGGTGCAATTCATATTGACATCTAATATTTATTACGGATGTTATTTGAAAACTCATTTCTTAATACTTACTTATAAAAGCCTCTTATTAGAAATATTGTATAACACTTTTAAAGACTTTACTGCATTATTGAAGATAATATGAAAATATTCTAGTTAGTTTGTTCCAAGTAACTAAAACGTTCTATTTATTTCCGTGAAGTATGCTAGTAATAGTGTATTAACTTTTTAACATAGTATTCAAAATAATTGCATTTAAAAAAAATTGGAAGAAAATGCCATTACCTCGCAAGAAAATATGTTCATATTTTTTTTGCCGGAGATCTTGCAACTTCAGTTCTTATTTTACAATAAAAGGTTTTTTCTCATTAATTCTTTGTATCCCTAACAGTTTTCCCATAAAATAGTTGTATTTTCTTAGTCATCCCAAAGCCACCATTTATTATGAACTCTGGTTTCTCATGGAATATTTCCAGGCAGATGAATGATCTGAGATGAGCGTCATTACTTATCTTTATTTGAGACTGAAATATGTTTTGTTAAAATAGTCATTTCATTAAAGATTACATTTGATTTTATTTGATTACATTTGATTACAAATTTGTGTAGGTACTCCCCAAAACATTATTTCATTTTTGTTATTAAAGAAATCAAATTTATGACAATTAAATCAAGTTTGTATTGAAAATGCATTGGTATTAACAAATAAAATAATTATGGGAAAATCATTAGGAATACAAAGAATTTGTTGTAATAAAATAAGGACTGGTTTGAAAATAGTAAGTAGCAATGCACCGGTATTAGTGCACCAATTTTTTATTTATTTAAAAACAAATTTTGGACCCTTCTTGCTTCTAAAACGAATAACTTTGGATAGAATAAGTTTAGTTAAATCGTCTTACTTTGACCCTAACAACTTGTGGCAGCTTCATGCATACATAGTATTGGTACACTCTGTATAAAGCTTAATAATCCAACTAAGTACTAGGCATATCCACAGACTAGGAGTACTCAATTGTTTAAAAATCGCAACGGCATTTATGAAAAATTTACATATTCCGAAGGGTACATCAAGAAATATTTTTCGACATAGTCGACCTCAACCTCAATGCACTTTATAAGAGATGGGCTTTTTGATGCCTTTGTCAAAAAAATTTCCCGATGTCTTTTGGGCCCATTGTTTCATTGCACTGTGGACCTCATCGCCGATAGAAAGCCTTGTTCCAGCCATAAACACCTTCAGAGAAGAGAAAAGATGAAAATTAGAAGGTGCCAAGTGGCTATAAGTGGGGTGGTTGATGGTGTTCCAACCGAATGAGTCCAAGAGTTGCTTTGTGGCGTTGGGTGTGTGGGGACATGCATTGTTGTGCAACAAGCTCACCCTTCATTAACATTCCCCTTTTGTTGTATATTGCTTCCCGTGGTCCATAAAGTAAATGAGGAGAATCCCATTATGGTCCCAAAACACAGTTGCTATAATTTTTCAGGCTGGTTTTGAATTTTTTCGCTGCTGCTGAAGGCGGATGTCGCCACTTCATTTCGTTTCAGAGGTGTGTTCTGTCACCAGTAGCAATACATTCAAGGAATTGTTCACCATCTAGATCAAGACGCTTGAAAAATTCCTGTGAAAGTGAGATTCTCTGATGGCTTTGTGTTGATTCATGAGCTGCCTTGGTACCCAGCTCGCACAAAATTTTCCATAACCAAGTGTTTCAGTAATGATTTCATGCAGAAGGGATCTGGAAATTTGTGAAAGCATTACGTTCATCTCGTCCAAAGTCAATCGACTGCACTACAATGCATTGCTTCAATCTTGTTCACCATCTCATCAGACACAATTGAGGAACGTCCACTGCTTTGTTCATCATGAACATTCGTGCTGCCAGCTTTATATTCACAACACCCCTTATACACATTGGTATGATTCATCTCACCATCCCCATAAACTGTTTTGATTTCATTGAAAATCTGGAATGGCGCCTTTCCTTTGCAAGAAAAAACTGGAACTCATTTCAATATGCCACTACACTGACTGAGGCAAAGGAGCCTGCATTCTGTTCCCAACACCTTGGCCTTGAATTCAGTGTTGCCAACATTATCCAAAACAAAAATCACAGAGCATCCGAGTCTCAGTACTATTACTTTGTGGATATGCCTCGTATTTGGATTTTTATGTAACAATGCAGTCTGAATAACAGAATTCAAATTGAATCAAGAATTCTGCTGGCATCTAGTTTTTAATTACATATATTCCTCTGCTCTAAATCTTATTTGTCATATATATTTACCATTCCATTGTTCTTCAAATGTGTACTACACAGTACTGATAACTTGGCACTTTGCATGGTGATATATACAAATTTTAATTGCAACAAGGGCAGTAGAATAATATAAAGTAGAAACAAAAATAAATTTCAAATACCTGTTGATTTTTCTATGTTGTGCTACAATAGCGCTTTTAATGTAATTTCTAAATATGTAGTGAGTTTAACAGATATGTAAACCCGGTTTTATAAATTTAGTATTGTGATAAATATTTATTTTTGTATAGACACTGTTATATATTTGCCACATTGATTTATATTCTTATTTATCTCTGTGGAAATGTAAATTTTTTGGCAAATTAAGAATAATATAATCCATAATTTTCCAGAAAATTTTCATAGCAGGTTTCAAGTTTATTGTACACTAAAGTTTAGAGGAACCATGATTTTTTCTTTGAAAATGTAAGCTTCTGCCAAGTAGAATAACTAGTCAATAATTAAAAGTACCTACATAACTTTCTTGAATTTTATTTCTTATGTACATGTTTCAACCTTTCTTATATAATAGAAAACATCTTAATTAGCTCAAAATTTTGTACCTGTACCTACATAATTCATATATCATATTTTCCTAAAAATCATTTTCTATTAGTATTAATACATTTTAGCTACTGTTATAAGAAACCCTTTGGCCCATTTGAATTATTGCTTTATTAACTTGATTTGATTGTTTACAAACATGCATATATTAAAGTAATATTTATTTTTTAATATTGTAAATAGACATAGTCCATTTTTAAATATAAATTGCAATAGGATCAAATTTGACATTTTCTTTTTCCTTTTTTTTCTGTAAAATAAAAATATATACAAAGAATAATAATTAAGGTCTATAAAATTTTTTTCATTATTATTAATTTAAGCGCATTTTATGCATTTTCAACATTGTTCTTTCCGTTTGGTGGAAGTCACGCTTGTCCTGTCGCATCCCAATTGAAATTTTGTTATCTTACAATAAACTGTGTGAAACAAAAAGTTTTATTTCTGTCTAAACAAAGCAAGATAGGAAAAAAGTAAATAACAAAAAAGTTGTATTTTTGATAGCTAAATCTGAGAAAAATTTCAAACTTACCAAAAAGCAGTGGCGTACCATATTTTTTTCTATGTTTATCAAGCTGGTATCTTGTGACGCCAATGGAGAAAATAGGACAAATTAAATTATGTGAGAAAATGAGTATTATTATTACAAACAAATTTGCCAAGTTTCAACAAAGTCTAAAAAGGGATTTTCGTTTTATGAATAAAAAATCAATTCTCATTTTAAACTTGAACACTCTGTAAATCGAAAACGACGCATCTATACATATATGTTTACATGAACTTCTTTTTTAAATGACAGTACAAGTTGTGAAAGTACTGCTACAAAATACGCGGACACCCTGTATATATAGCAAAAAGTTTTTGATTTTCTTTAAAATATCACAAAAAATGAAACATAAATGTTTCGTAAAAGTTACGCTTTATCTGTGATATTTTTTTGTGGCTATAAAGTTATAGCACTCTAAGAAAATTACAGAATACAACCCCTGGTGTCTCGTAGTTCTGTAACCAAAGCAGAAACTTCTGGCCTGGTACACTACTGAAACTTCTGTACTTCTGGTACACAACCAGAATTCAGGTCCAGAAAACCTGAAAAACCAATAGTAGTTTTTTCCGAATTCGTTAATCGAATTTCAAAGTTGCAATACATATACAAGGAGTTTCAGGATTAAGTCGACAAATTTTAAGGATATTCCTCAAAAAAAAAATTAGAAAAAAATCAAGTATAAATTTTTTTCCAGACGCTTCATTTTCGAAATATATGGCATTAAAGATTTAAAAAAAAAATTGAATTTTTTAAATAACCTCAATAAAGAAGGCTATTTAAGCCAAATTTGGCATGACACATCTTATAAGATACCATTTTTCCATAGAAGTAGAAGTTCCTACTTCCTTCCGCATTGGTTAAATGCTGACAATGCTGACATGTTTACCGAGTTCCTTGAAAATGGTTTTCAAAATCTGTTAGAAGATCCGCTTAATACTCGAATGAACAGTTGGTTTCAACTAGATGGTTGTCCTGCCCATATTGGTAGAGGTCCTAAGGAGTGGTTAAACATTAATTATCCCAGGAGATGGATTATTTCGTTTGGGGTGCTGTTAAACAAAAAGTCTACGAAGTGCCAGTTGATACCCTAGATCCCTAGAAAATCTAAGACTGTGAATAGTCCAAGCGTGTCGAGAATTCACTCCAATTCAGTGTCGATCGGCCACTACCTCCATAATTAGAAGATGTCATGCTTGTCTACAGTCCGGAGGCGCCCATTTTGAACAAAATATTTTTTAAATCATTTCATTTTTTATTCACTTCGCTTTGTCTAGGTATAATATTAATTGGTAATTTTTTGGTTGTTTCAAATTTACAAATAAATTTTCATGTATTGTTTACCATCTTATTTTATTTAAAAGTACACAACACAAGTAAATGAAGTGACTACAAACCGCCTGAAAAAATTTAGGAGTATTGCAAGGGTCATTACGTTGTCGCATTACGACATGGCTACATTAGATCG